GAAGCCTCATACCGGAGTTTCCCGTTCGCGTCCAACGAACTCTAGGGACCTAACGACCTATACCTACGCAGTCGGAAGGAACGGTTCTATCGTCCAACCTGGTCAGGCGTATTCGACGGAGAATGTTGGCGACGCGCTAATCATTACGTGGGAACGAAAGGACGCGGCGGGCCGAGTAACCCCGCTCCGTAACGTTTCACGGTGCACGATGGGTCTTCTCGAAAGTCCACGCGTTTTCGATTACCCGCGAAACCACGCATACCCGTGCTTTCTAGTGCTTCCCGTGGCACCTTTCGCGCCCTACCGACCCTGCCTTCTACCGCGAAGGAATTCTCCCTCTTCCGCCGCCGCCTCCATCTTATCCCCTTCGAAAGGGAACGTTACGCGATACACACACCGCGTACAACAAATTGCTCCTTTATTAATAAGTAAACGAAAGACTAGTGACAAACATTCTTATTGCATAGGTTAGACTATCGAGACCGCAGGCCAACGACGCCCCACGGCTTTTTCAACGGACAAAAGGAGAGAAATTCGATCGGAGCCACGCGCATCGTCCTTCCCCGACCACCGTATCCATTCCGCAAATTTTCATCCAAACTCAAGTCGGCAATGTTTCGGGCCTAATTCACCACTCCAATACCCCGGGAATGTACTTGTCGATCAACTTCTCGTAGTACGGCCAGAGATTCTCGATGTCGGGGATGTCGCCGCTCTTGGTGTACAGGTCGTATTTACTGAAACAACAATTCAGATTGGAACCTGTTCTTCTTCTCCAGAGGTAAACGAAAACAGCTCGATACTCACTTGAACTCGTTGATCCACTTTAGCATCGCCATGTCTTCCGAGGTGCAAAAGTGCATGTAGTCGCCGGCAGCGTGCCAAGGGTAGAACGAGTGGTAGCGGATCATCGCCAGAGCCTCCTTTGGCAATTTCGCCTTGTTGTGCACCAGGACGCGGTACAAGTACTCGTCGTGACCCCAGGACATCGTTAGATTCTCTATGCCACATTTCGGCTGGTACATACCGTACTTGGTGCTGAAACCAGACGAGCATCTTTCTCAAATTCCTGCTTGCTCCCGATCAAACTTTTCCAGAGCGATTTCACGTTACTTGTATCGGGCATCTTTCCCGTCCGGATTCTCCTCGAAACTCGTCTCCCTGTAGACGATCGACTCGGCCCAAGCGCATCCCACGGGAAACGTGTCACCGACCACTGCCCATTGCGGTTCCCCGTAGAACGCCATTACCTGAAACGAAAAACGAAAACATTAGGAAGAGTAGGTACGTTGCTGCTACCGTGAAAGTTCAGAACCGATTGGTGCACCTTGCCTAGATCGTGAAGCAGCCCGGTCAAGTGGAACCAATCCAAATCGGGATGCTCCTTTCTGATCGACTCCGCGGTTTGAAACGCGTGCACGATGTTCGGCAAACTGGTGTCCGGGTCGCTCTCGTCCACCAAATCGTTCAACTTCAGCAGAGCGTCCTTGATCGTCATTTTGCACTTGTCGAATCGTAGCCATTCCTTCATACGAGCTTCGGAAAGTAACCGACCAATCGAGTTCTCTCAGTATCGATCGCAGGAGCAAATAACGCCGATTGGTACTCACATTCCACAAACTCGACCGTTTGATTCGCATGCATCTTCTCGTAGGTTTTCCGCACCCGCTCCTTCACCGGATCCCTCGGATCTTCCGTGTAATCTCGGAACTCGCTTTCCAATTTCCCCGCGTAAACAGCTTCCGGCCTATACTTGTCCGACGGATCCAGTATAGTCGCTTGCCTTTGCGGCTGTGCCTGCCGTTCGAAACATTTTACCACGGATACGTGCTCGTACCGATATCGCGAATACCACGACAAACGGGAGAAATAGGTAATCGAAAGGCAAAGGCAAAGAAGAGCGGAGACCGACCGCGAAGAAAACAAACGAAAGCGAGACCACCGTGCTACTCGCCCGATTTCTTCCTTTCCAATACTTACCATCGTTTTCGTCGACATCTGTCTATAAGGCTATATTCCGACTGGTATTCAGTATGCAATACAGACTGACTAGTCCCACGCGACCGAGTTAACTTATAAATCTGAGGCAATTCACCCTTGACCTCTGTTTCATCAAACTATGGTCACGTGTGTAATATTCGATACGCTTTATCTCCTTCCAACACATTCGCGCACCATTCTAAACAGACGAACGCACCAGATAAAAAAAATACCCTGGAATTTCACGATTAACTCCAGCCGACTACTTTCTTCTCTTCACCTAGATGCGTCTACGAGTAATTTTCCATGAAAATAAAATTATTTTCCTATTTCACTTACGAGTGCCGCTATGTAGGCAACAAAGAACGTAACTGGACGTAATCGCGTTAAAAGCATGCGACGCACAAAGATATCTTCTGCAAACTCATGAATGACATTCTTTATACGCTGCTGAAAAGAAAAAAAAAAGATACCGCGGACCGTTCTGGGAAGCAGACGAAAAAGTAGCGCTTGTTACCCGCATTTTTCTGTCAGCCTGTGAAAAGCCGGCTTATTCAACGATAGATTGGATCGTCTCCCCTCCCTCCCTTCCCTTCCCTCTACCACGTCCCAAGGGGTACCGGGCGGACGATTAACCTGTGTGGGAGCAGGAGGAGAAAGATAACGCGGTTTCGGTTCGGAGTCAATCCGCGAGCCGAACGCAACAATTTCCTTCCTATTAGCCACTGTTGCTATTTCAGACAGGTGCTTGCTTGGTCTCTCCAACAGTCGCACGCGCCTTTTGCGCACTTCAACCGACGCGCCTTCTCCATTTATTAAACTCAATTACGCGACAACTGATTTCGCGCAAAAAGGAATGAACCCTCGGGGCAGTTTATATTCGATCGGTGTTAAATGCATAACGCATCCATGCTATTTTCATACCACCAATTACCAACCGACAACTACTGACTTACTTATTTAGATGATACAGATCCGATCGATCTTTAATAACGCTGAGAATCGATCGATGCCGCGAGCGCGTCAAATACTTTACTTTACAATTGATAACGACGCATAATCCCGGTGGAACGTTCGCAAAAACACGAAAACACGAAAAATTCAACGAGAAGAAAACGTAATCGCGACTCAATTTTCTTTCGCAATCGATTGCGTCAACCGTTTCACGGTCGACCGTCAAAATATTTTCGTATTTGTCGACAAATTTTTATGCCATTTTTCCCTTCCTCCCTTCGTCACGCTGACGATTATTCAACTGGCGCAGATTACGGCCCGAAAGTTTCACGCAAGCAAAATCTCCCTCCGACTCGAATCACACTCGGTACATTTCCGTATTCTCGATACTCTCCCCCCTTATCTCTCGTATCGTCGCTACCGCTTTAATCGCACCGAGGAAAATCAATAAATAAATTACGGCTAGTCGTGTACAATCTTGGTAAAATCTCTTTTTATTCTTCAATCTTTTGCTTCCGTTTCTTCTCTCTCCCTCCCTCCTTCCCTCCATCTCTCTCTCTCTCTCCCCCTCTCTTTCTTGGACAAAAGTTGTATTCAAATTATCGTCGACGCGTTAATTAGACGACACGCCCACGCACGCATACATACTTATATACACTCTTGTACCGGCGCGTGTGCATATGTGCGCCTGGTTATGCGCGCGCGCGTGTTTGTAGATATTGTATATGTGTATATACAGTTTGACACGTATCAAGGTATTTGAAATAAGAGCAACACGCTTTCAAGATGAACTCGAATCCGAGTAGGAAGAATTGCTCCCCTTTCGTCGCGCGCTATGCTGATGTCTTCGTGACGATGTTCGAGACGGTGATCTGTGCTTCGAGGAGGAGGACTTCTTGCTCTTCTTGGATCTGTGCGATCGAGAACTGCTCGGACTGTCATGGCTGCTGTACAATAAACAAACGTATGCGAAAAAAAAAAAACAGAATCAGAGAATAGAGAGCGAGCGAGCGAAGGGCCATGTGGAGGTGGAGAGGGGGAAACGTGATCAATTACACATGTCGTAGCGGCGGTGCGAATAGGAGGATTAGTGATCGATCGAAAAAGACGCGTACCTTCTGTGAGAGCTCTTCTTCTTTTTGTGTTTCTTGTGAAACTTTTGTCTATCGTTGTAACTTCGACTTCCACTTGGACTTCTCGATCGCGGCCTTGATCTCTTGCCGGTCAGGTCTGCGCTCTTCAGCCTATCCATCAACGAGTTTCCACCGATTGTCCTCGAGTCGCAAGAGGTTTTCGCGTCGTCCAAGGATGGCGAGGGCGATGGCGACGGTACTGAGTGCACCTCGTCTGAATCGTCTTTCCTCGGTCCCTGGTGGTTCGCGATAACCGAGCCCGAGCCAGAGCCCGAGCCAGAGCCCGAGCCAGAGCCCGTACACGCACCTGCCGTCGCTCCACCACCAGCTTTCGATAACACAGAACTCTGTATCTGACTCAAAAATGCAGCCGCCTTTTTCTTCCTTTCCAGTTGAAGCTGCCTCTCTCTCGACGTAGCAGCCAGCTTGTCTCGCGCTGCCGCCACCAGTTTGTCTTTGATTCTATCTTCTGCCTGCTTGTGCCTAATCTCTTTCTGACAGTCCTCCAAAATTTCATCGGTAAGATCCACCAGCAGTTCCTTTTCCTCGTTCTTAGACTTTTTCTCACACTTCCACGACGTTCCACCCTCTTTCTCCAGCATCGTTCCAGACATTCCATGAACGCTCGCCGAGCTACTCGCCGTGTTCTGTTGTTGTTCGCTCGTAGAGTGTTGCGGCGAGCTCGGCTTCGAGTTTCCATCTTTGTTCTCCGCCTCCATCGTGTCGTCGTCGTCGCTCTCCTCCAACGGCAGTGCGTTTCGCTTCTCGATTACACCGCTCTCTCCGTCCTTTGGCTTCTTAATTGAGAAAGACACGGTCGTCACCTGCTTCGTTCCTCCCTCCGTCGTGCTTGCCGTCGATCCTTGTTTCGCCCTTGGCTCGCACTTCTTCTTCGCTTGTATCATCTTCACCCTTTTCTGCACTTCCTCCATTCTTTGTTGCTTCTTTTGCAATTCTTCCAGCTTCTTCTGTTTCTCCTCTTGCGGCTCTTGTTTCTGTAACAACTCTTCCTCCGTCAACACCCTTGGATTCACAGCGCCTTCGTATATCGTCAATTTGTGCGCGTAATAGCCGTGATACTGATGCGACAATTCCAGAAAATTGAATCGCGGGTCGCCTTTATTTTTCACGATCGCCTCGAAATCTCTACCGTTCTTCGCCACGTAACTAGCCATTTTGTCGATAATTATCTGCACGTCCGCCGGTGGAACGATAAAGGAAGGTCTGCTCAATTGCTTCTGAGGCGTGGATCCGTATGGTACCAACGGTGGCTGCGACGACGACTCGTTCACATGCGTCGCGATCGGCTCGTTTGCACACGATAAAACGTTCACTGCGGTGATTTGGAGGGTCGATTGGATCTGCCCGTTTGGTCCGTATATCACCGGTCCATGGGAATACTGCACAGGTGTGGTTGCCGTTGCCGTCGCGGACACAGTCGCTGCCGCTCCGAATAAGGGCCGTAGCCCTATAAAGAAAAAAGAAGCCAACGTACGTCTAACCTATGCGTGCCAACCGGATTTCTTACCTGTCCTACCACGGGATGATAATATCCTGTAGTAGCCGTCGGTTGAATCGTGCTTTCGACATGTTGCGTAGGTATTTTCGAAGGCGGCGGTTTTCCCGTTATTTTATTTACCAGCATCGAATAAGCACAGTCCGCCGATGGTTTGTACTGTATACTCGGAATACTGGGGGCCTAAAAATAGATCATCGTCACAATTCGACCTGTCAAGTTCGCGTGGACTGGTGGATTTTACGTTTACGTACCGCTTCTATCTTGGTGAACGACGGTGCCAAGCTCGGATGAAGATACGGTTCGTCGTCTTGATCCGACTCTTCTTCGTGTTCTACCATTGAAAAGAATACAAATAAATAGAACGTCCAGCTCTACAGCCTTACTAATGCTTCCTATGTGTCACAGAGATGAACGGTATAGATTAACAAATAGAACGTAGAAATACTTACAGACGGACAAAACTAAGTAGAATCAAAGTAGATGTGGCTACTCAAAATCCTGCTTTAACTCTCCTCAATTATTTTAACACGACAATCACATTCGGCAACGTAACCGTAACATGTTGCTAAAAACGAAAGAAAACAATATGCGTACCAGATTCTTCCTTCTCGGGCTGTTTTTCAGGATTGTATTTTCCACATTTGATCGCGTCCAGTATGAATCTGTAATATTGATGAAGCCGTCCGTCTATCGACAAGAAGGAAAACTGTGGATTATTCGCCTGTTTCGCCTTTATCAGAATCTCCATTTGGCCCCCTTGACGACTTATGAAAAACGCCGTTTTCGTTATGATGGCGTTCAGCTTTTGCGTTTCCGGCTGTTAAAGAGCAACAACGACAACGTGATAAACAATACTAAAATAGTACTATTCACTTGGCTAAACTAACGTATCATCTTATCCCGTCATATCCTACGGTCTGCCTCGCTACCAACTAAATGAACCCCCCCCCCTGTGTGTGTGTGTGTGTGTGTGTGTGTGTGCGTGTGTGTGTGCGTGTGCGTGTGTGTGTGTGTGTGGACGGGTGTGCGCGCGCGCGCGCGTGCGTGCGTGTATGTACCAACCAGTGAAATACCCTCTGGAATGTTCAGCTCTGGAGGTGGGACGAACGCCTGATCCTCCTCCTGGGAACCTTCCGATCGTTTTGGGCTTTGCGAATCGTCGCACGCCATTTTCGAACCATTCGCTTCCTCGTTGTAATCGTACGCCACCTGACTGTACGTGGTCTCCGAATCCAGTGCTTGATGCAATCTTTTCATTTCTTCCTCTGAAAAGAAAAGAAGGAAATCTGATATCGCTCCAAAGAAACTGGATATCGCACGATCTCAATATTTCAACTTACCCTGATACACAGAATCCTCGATTTCGTTGTTGTACAGGGACCGATAACGTTCTTCGTCGCATAATTGTTCCACTTTCAGTTCGTCTTCCGTCAGAATTGTTCGTTGATCGAACCCACCTGTTGGTGGTTCGTATATCCGTAAGTCCCCCAGCGCGCCGCGTCCATCGTATCTATACACATACATAAATCGAATTAGAGGGAAGAAATGATAGGAATTTTTTCGAGAATTAGCTCGATCTCGGCATCTGAAAATTATGTCACGAAGCAAACCCTGCGTCAAAGTCAAACCTTCCTCTGAAATAGAACACAATTATACACAACACTCAGATCGGTCATTGGAAAATTCCGAAGAAACGCGACAACCATCAGAGCTTAGACAACGATCTCTTTCTTACAATTATTGTTTGAACCGAGGCTAGATAATTCGCGGCAAGACTATGAATCTTTAACTATTCTTCGCTTTAAACTACGTTTCGCGGACATAGGTCGTGATCGTTCAACGTTGTTCCAGAAGATAGAGAAGGCGAAGAAAACGGGAGAACCGGCGCGGTCGAGTCTAAAACGCTAATACATACCATGCTGAACGATTGTAGTCAGCTACAATCGTCAGCTGCCGTTTGTCTCTCTACGCTGTGTCTCACCTTGCTGCTGCGCCGACGGTCAGCCAGAAACGTCAACGTCACGAGAGTACATTGCTCTACGGCCGTGCAGAGCGCGTATACCGCGCTTCCACACCGCCTACTTCACAGCCAAGACACCTGCAGAAACCTTAAACAGTCTCCAGATTGCTTATCCGTACAATTATTGCTTAACCGTTCGTGTCGGTTGACTTTTTTCCAACTGCTGCACTTTGCTCAGTTTTGTCTGTTATATCGTTCTTCTAAAGATTACACATGTACGGTGCATTTATGCAAGAATAAATATCCTAGATGATAAATTTGTCTAGGTTAGGGAAACGGACCTGTCTATTTTCAACGTGCTATCGCCCATCCATGGTATCAAATGCTTTCCTTGATCAATCATTTTCGCCTTGTCATCATCTCGAAATAATTTGCAGCTATATCCAAACACCAACAGCTCCTGTGGTTCCTCTTCACCATTTTTTTTACGTAAAATCCCCGAATCTACCATCCAACGCTGACTTTTCGGTGTCGCCATTTTCCATCCACTGAGAGAGATACTAACGTTCCACACCTTCTGTGTACATATACAAGAATCAGCCATCCAATGTTGAAGTTTGCCGCGAATTTAGAACGCTGCCCGAAACCTATGCCGTATAATTATGTACTTCCGTGGTTTCGCCACTAGGAGGCTACTACCGTAACTAACCGTCCGTCCATTTACATATGCACATAAGTACTTGTTGATATCCCATAAAATTATTTCTTCCGCTTAACGCATTTAAGCGTACCAAATTTTCAAACTCGAGCCTTCCTTCCAATTACGTCGCATTGAAAACGGTACAAAGATACCAAATAGTTCCTTTCCTCCACAAATCTTCCCGCGATTCGTCACCCCTTGATCTCATCTTTCTTAATTACATCACGCTACACGTAACGTGCAACGAAAGGATAAATTTCCTCTCCCTGTAATTCACGCCGCTCCTATCGATCTTGTAAACTATTCGCGACGCAATATCTACGAAAGAATTTAAACGTATTCAATTATACCTCGTACAGTTGGAAAATACTGGAAAATATGGCAGGTTCTTTTCTTTCTTTTTCATCTTTTAATTTTACCTCAACTCGAATCGATGCGGACTTTGTTCGGCGTATGAAAACGTTCGAATGGAAGGTTGGTAACATTTCATAGAAATCAGTAGCAGAGTGTCGTTAGAAAATTATGAAGATACATGTATTTACATCCTGTAAAACGACCACAGACTCGTCTTCGATCTTTTACTATTAATTTTAATACAGTAGGACTTCCTATAACGCGGCAGATACATTCTGCGTTATACGAGACCCACAACGCAAAAAGTTACAATCAAGTTTTTTCTTTCATAACAGAAAATAATATGTACATTTTATTTTAAAACAATAAAACCGTAAAATTTTCTTCATTATATGTATGTATAGAATAACTTAAAGTGTAGGTTAAGGCAGGTAAAACTAAAATCTAATCACTCTTATAATCGCTTAAAAATAAGTTCCACCGGTATCACTTTTTGGGTACTGGTTTCTTCGTCGATTGAAATTTCTTCAGCTTCAGTTTCTTTTTTTTTCTTTTTCATCGCGTTATTCAAGTAGGACGTTATACAGGATCCTACTGTCAATTGGAATACAATTATTGTGAAAAATAACCACAATAACAACAACGACGACGACCACGACGACAATTATATTACCGAAAAATCGATATTCAAATCGTTCATGTATCAATTATACGTTTCTGTATAATTTCCACGAGATATATATTTATATAATAATGGAAGTGTATAAAAATAAAAAGCAAATCATTCGAGGATAGTAACTAGATCAGCAAGTGTATGGAATGTAGGTAAATGATGATCGTACACGCGTTGTACATAGAATATTGTTGGTACGAATCGATATCGGTCATCTCGGAAGATATTTAATTATACTGGTAATTGTTAAGTCACCCCTCGTTATATCTCGTATTACCCGTTTCGTTGAAATTTCGGATAATTTAGTTTACAGATCTAAATTTACCTGTCTCCATGCGATTATTAAATTACGTTACTATATAGTGTTTTACAATTAAGACATAAAACTAAGAATCATCCATTCGAGTACAATTGTTAACGCTCGCAAAGTTTTGTTGCTATGACGAGGCGCAACGAGTACGTCGTTTTACCGAGCGGATGATCATTAAATCAGATGATGCAGTTGAGGTTTTCCCTTGATCGAAGAAAAGAAACGG